CGGGAGCGGCCACTGCACTCCAGTCTGGGCGACAGAGTGAGACTCCAACTCAATAAATAAGTAAAATAAATAAAATAAATAAAATAAAATAAATTAGGGGGGTAGTGGCGCACTCCGCTCTTATGGGTACTCAGGAGGCTGAGGCGGAAGGATCGCCTGAGCCACGAGGTCCAGGATGCCGTGGCTCAGGTGCCTCTGCACCATGTGATGGTGCCTCTGCTCTCCAACCTTGTTGACAGAGTGAGATTCTAACTCAAAAATAAATAGCATACAAAAAATGCCGCCCATTAGAGCAGAGGGGAGGGGAAAGGCAGAAAGCTGCAGACTAGCTAGAGACACACTTGGTGAGCTAATAATGGATGGAGTCTTTCCAGAACTATACTGTTTGCGAGGCGACCTGGTAACAGTGGTTACTCTTATGACTTAGGGTGGAGCGGTCAGCAGTGTCTGTGGCTTCATTGAGGAACGAACTGGAGGGGCTGGGCCCAATGAAACCGATTCTGGAGGAGCTGGGGCGGCAACTTCAGAACTCTCGAAAGGGGCCCGACCTGTCTGTGAACCTGGATCGGTCCCCCCAAGGCGGCTGTGCCCGCTGTGCCAGGTAATGGGGCAGGACTTGCCTTCAGGAACATTCTGGGACACTTTTCTGATAGAACACTGAAGGAGATGGGGCATTAGTGAAGGGTGGGGGTTGCTCATTTTGGGAGACAAGGCCTCTCCATGTGTTGTAGAACCAGACAGTTCTGCGTAATGGGTCACATTTCTGCCCTTTTCACAAGGTAAAATCAGTGTCTTGTGAAACTCAAGGAAGACCTGATACATTTCAAACATCATGTATCTTCAGTGCATTGTGGCAAGGCTGGATTGTGGTACACAGTGGGAGGCAGGGCTTCTCAGTGCATTGTGGGGAAGGTGAGACTCTGGCGTTTTGTGGGAGCCAAGAGACCCTGTACTTGGTCCATTGTGGGAAGGGGGGACTCCTAGTACAACTTGAGATCAGGGTTCACTAGGGCATTGTGGGAAGCCAGTGTTTGATGGCCTTTGGAACCAAGGGCTGTCTGGTGCCCTTTAGGTGTTGGGATCCCCAGGACACTGTGGAAACCAAAGGGCACTTGATGCTACTGTAGAATGGCCCCATGCACGGTGGGAAGGTTGTGTAGGATGCATGGTTGAAATGGGACTGAGTGGAGACTGGGCAGGTAAGCAGGGGGCATCTAGGAATGACATTGGTACTGGGCTTCTTTCATCTGGTGACCACTCCTCCCCCAGCCAGGGGCCGCAATTATCCACGGAGTCCTTGCAGCAGCTGCTGGATCGAGCGCTGACCCCGCTAGTGGACGAGGTGAAGCAAAGGGGCCTGGCTCCTGCCTGTCCCAGCTGCCAGAGGCTACATAAGAAGATTCTGGTACCAGGGACCATGGGCCACAATGTTCCATTTTGCTTTTCTGTTAGGGCAGGGGGAGGGGAGCCCTGGGCACAAGGGTACTGCTGAGATGTGGCAGAAAGGGAAGGACTGAGCGGTGAGCAGCAGGCCTTGGGGGAGGACTTGGCGTTAATGCATGGGGGGGAGGAGCAAGCAGTGTGGTGGTGAGTGAGCCACAGGTCAATCATTATGGAACCTTGGGTGATGGACTTGGGCCCAAAGCATGGTGGGACACTGGGTCTGGTGCACTGTGGGACACCGGAGACAGACAACCAATCTAAACCTTCATGGAGCATGAGCCTGACTTACTGTAGACCTTAAGAGAGGCTGTACGTGAAATGGAATCATTGGAGTCATCTATATGGGGGTAAGACGGGACCCGGTGACTATAGGTCACAGTAAACCGATGCATTATGGGAAATGGAACCGCAGCTCTTCCTGGGGCATTGCACCACAGACTCAAGCCCAATAGTTGGAATTGGAATCCTGGTACATGGTGCAACATCAGGACCTAAAGCATGATGGGATGTTGGCCTAATGTATCATGGGATATAAGTTGTAGCGGGGGAGACAGACAAGTGAGGCCATATGGGATATGGATGTGCAGAGCTACGGGCCCATGAGAGGACATAGGGCTTGGTGCATTGTGGGATATAGAGAACCAAACACTAAGGACCGTTCTTGTGAGAGACGCTGGTCTGATGGGTAAGGAGATGTGCGGTTTGTGGATTATGGGATGTAGATATCAAATGCGGGATAGTGCGCGGGTTTAGGGGACAATATGGTCGACACTGATTTAGGCCAGTGCATCAGGGATCCGAAAGTAGGACAGACACGGTTTAGCGCATGACAGAATCTGGAAGGCCGAGACATTGTGGGATGCCGGGGTCAGTCTCAAGCCATGATGGGATACTCTGGGGGAGGAATGTGGGCCCCGTGGGACCCTACCCCTTGCCCTCCGCGATCCAGCTCCCCCCTCCACCCCCAGCCCAGTCCAGCAAGCCCAGCCGCGCCTACACTCCTCTCCCCAGGAGCTGGAGCGCCAGGCCTTGGCCAAACACGTCAGGGCAGAGGCCCTGAGCTCCACCCTTCGCCTGGCCCAAGACGAGGCCCAACGGGCCAAGAACCTGCTGCTGACGGACAAGATGAAGCCGGAGTGAGGAAGGAAGCTGAGGGCGTGGGAGGAGGGTGAGGTCTTAGGGAAAGGGCCTGACCTCTTCCTTCCACTCGGACACCCTAACACCTGGCCGTGCCGACATCAACTCTCTACCCCGCCTGTCGTTACAGGGAGAAGGTGGCCGCTCTGGACTATCTACACTTGAAGATGTGCTCCCTCCATGATCAACTCAGCAACCTGCCACTCGAGGGGTCCACAGGGACAATGGGGGGAGGAGGCAGTGGAGGAACACCCCCAAAACATCGGGGCCCAGGCCCTGAACAATAAATGGCCCCTCATGCTGGCATGAATTCTGTCTACTTTTTGGCACCAAAAAAGGGCTGGTGCAACCATGCACCAGTCCTGTGTGATTTATTTAGTCTTCAGCTAACTAGGAGTGTTGGTTTCCATCTCCCAGAGAGATGCTGATGGTGGTGCACTTTTTTGGTTTGGTTGGTTTTTTGGTAGAGATGAGATCTCACTGTGTTGCCCAGGCTAGTCTTGAACTCCTGGCCTCAAACGCTCCTCCTGTCTTGGCAATCCCAAAGCACTGGGATTACAGGCATGAGCCTCTGTGCCCAGCCAGTACAGTTCTTTGAGAAGGTAATGGGGATAGAAGTAAGATTCTGTGGTACGGTTTGGGCCTGTCAAGCCACCATTTTTTAGATTGTTACTAGATAATCATATAGCTGTCTATTGCTATGTAAAAAAATCTTAGTCACTTAATAAGATAACAAACATCTCAATGTCTGAGGGTCAGAAATTCAGGAGTGGCTTAGCTTATTGGTTCGGGCCCAGGTCCTCATGGAGTTGCTGTCAAGATGTCAGCAAGGGCTTATGTCATCTGAAGACTTGACTGGGGCTGGATGATATCTTTTCAAGATGGCACACTCACATGGCTCTTGGTTGGAGGCCTTGGTTCCTTTCTGTCTCTTGGTCGGAGGTCTCAGTTTCTCATGGCAGCTAACTTCCTCCAGAACGAGCAGTCTAAGAACAAGCAAGAAGCCACAGTGCCTTTTATGATCAAGTCTCTGACGTTGCATACCATCATTTCTCCCTTTTTATATTCATTAGAAATGGGACATTAAGCCTATTCGTTAGGAATGAGACTTTGGGCCAGGCTCGGTGGCTCAGTCTTTAATCCCTGCACTTTGGGAGGTCCAGGTGAGTGCATTGCCTGACCCTGTGGGTTCGAGACCTGCCTGGGCAACTTGGCGAGACCTCATCTCCACAATAAATCAAAAAAAAATTAACCGGGCATGGTAGCGCGTGCCTGTAGTTCCAGCTACTTGGAAGTCTGAGGCGGAAGGATCGCCAGAGCCCAGCAGGTCGAGGCTGCAGTGGCCGGGAGAATGCCACTGCCCTCCAGTCTGGGCGACAGAGTGAGACTCCAACTCAAAAAAAAAAAAAAAAGACCAGACCATATACAAGAGTATGTCAAAGAATTCACAGATATATTTTGAAGAGAATGGTAATCTTTGGACATATTTGATATTTGCATATGCTACATATTATATAATAGCAAATACTGCTATTTTAAAACTTTTAATTGAATTATACTAATAACAGAAAGGTTCACAAATTGAAGGTGTACAGTTCAGTGAATTATCATGAAAAGAACACAGTATGTAACCACTACAGAGATTTAGGTCATTACCAGCACCCCCCACCCCCACCCCTCGAATTCCACTCATGTCCCCTTCCAATCACTACCTTTCCCTCCACCCCAAAAGTAAACCCTACTCTTCTGTCAGCATTATAAAAAGGTAATAAAATAAACATAAGAATTGGGAAGGAGCCGTCTTGGTGCCTCAGGCTGTAATCCCATGCCTTGGGAGGCTGAGGTGAGTGGATTGCCTGAACCCCCCGGTTGGAGACCCGCCTGGGCAGGCGAGACCTCATCTCGGCAATAAATCAAAAAATCAGCCGGGCGTGGTAGCGCACGCCTGTAATTCCGGCTACTTGGAAGGCTGAGACGGATGGATCGCTGGAGCCCAGCAGGTCGAGGCTGTGGTGGCCAGGAGCGGCCACTGCACTCCAGTCTGGATGACAGAGTGAGACTCCAACTCAAAAAAAAA